AAATAATAAGCCTTCCTGATAAGCCAGAGAAAGCTATTAGCCTTCAGAAGGATAAACAGAAAACCCCAATACAAACCATTACATAGCAAAAGGAAAATTTTCTTCTGTCATCCAAATGGAACCCGAATTTTGGGACAAAAACCCATACAAAGCCATTACCAAAGCTTCCCCTCCTGGTTTTCATTTCAGACCTTATGCCTTAAATAAAACCAGACAATTTTATGAGTTCATTCTAATAGATTCAGATTCTGTCTCTATTAAACATTATAAGGACCAAAAAGATCCCTCAATCATCACTCATTCCACAATACAAATATTAAAAATTCTGTCACCAAAGAATTTTGGAAAAGATCCAAATTCATTTAGAAAATTTTCTCAACCTTTTGATCCAGTAGGATACAATTACTGGAATTACATTGATGCCTGGACTAGGACTTTCTAGTTCCAAAATAAACTCAACCGACACTCTTGGTTGATTTACTTCAAGAAAAATTAGAATTACAATTTCCCAAACTGGTTCCTTCAATGGTGGGACTTCTTTGGACCTTTAGAGGCAATTCTCCCTTCTCCTGTAAAAGAAGGATTTGAAACATTCAAAAATAGATATGCTCCAAACAGGATCAGTGCAGATCTCAAATATTTCTCTGCCTTCGCTATGGCCTGGGAATTCTCATGGCAGTATAGGTATAGCAAGACTGAAGAAGATGACATTCTTCCCATGATTCACAGACATGTTTTTGTGAAATGGTGGAATCAATTTAATGCTGATCATGCAGGACCGCAAGGAGTTAATGAGTTTTTTGGAAACAGTCTCAAACTCTTGAAGCTTGCTGATCCAGCAACTTTTCAATTTCTGAATCAGAAAGCTAAAATTGCAGCCTTCCTATCAGGATGTGATTCCAAAGACAAAATGAAGAAAAATTTAAAAGAGGTACTTCTTCTTTTGAATCAAGAAGAAGCCGAAACTTCAACAAAACAAGACTCTAACAAAGATGACGACTTCTGTCAAAATGAAGATGATTGTTTTGGAATAGACATACAAGAATTATGACCTATTCTGTAGAAACAGTTCCAGTTACATACCGGAACTATACAAACAGTATCTTAATTTTTCTTTAAAAAGAGTTCTCGACCATGTTGTGAGGCACCCTTTTATTTAGTCACATAGATAGAAATTCTAGAGAGAGAAGCTCTGAGTGATAATATCCCTGTAATACTTTTTTAATATATATATATATTAAAAAATTTTAACATATTATATCATGGCATTTCAGACATTTGTCTCAGACATAAACAATTTGATACCATTGACAAAATACTAGAAAATCCCATAGGCTATACATACTTTGTGTTCTATCCTAAGATTTATTCATATATTAATCCATTCTCAGCTAAATCAAGGTTTATATAAAGTGTTTATATTATCCGAGTGAGTAATAATAGTAACTTAGGATAAGCTCCCCCTACCTGCAAATAGGTTTCTTAGATTACACTCCTCGTAAGTTTCAAGAGAGAGATATAATGTATAGATACAAAATATCATTTGAAGGACTCAGATCTCCTTAGAATGACAAGGTAGAAAACTCTTGAGAAAGAGAAAACAAAGGGTAAAGAGTAAAGTTAGAGACCTAAGCTCCAAAAACCTACTTGGATCTGAATGAAGTAAACTTTCATGCTTGGATTTGAAAAAGGTTCAGGATTCAATAAGTTTTCTCTGAGAAAAGAAGGTGAGAGAATAGAAAGAAAATGAGAATGAAAAGTTTTTTAGTGAGAAAATAAACGTTTTAGAGCTGGGATTTTGTATATATTCCTCCAAAATTACGCGTTTTCACGTGAGCAAGCCCTACTCTCACCTGGACGAGAAAACTTGATAATTATTTTACTCAATTTTCTGATATTCTCGTATGAGCGAAAAACGTTCTCGCCTAAGCGAGAGACATTCTTGCCTGAGCGAGAGGTATTCTCACCTCGGTGAGAATGGGTCCAGAGAGTTCCTCATTTTTCCGACGACATCGCCTGTGCAAGACTCCTTCTCGCCTTGGTAAGGTCACTTCTTTCGTGAGCGAGATCTCTTCTCGCTTGGGTTAGAGGATAGTTAAGGTAGTATTATCCTATCTCGCTTGATCAAGATCGCTCTAGAATGCCAAGTTCAGCACAACTTAGCCTCGCTTGAGTGGGAAACTTTGCACTAAAACTCCTATTTTTCCCAGAATTAAGGCAATACAAATGAGAGTTTTACCATAAGAGGTTCTGCTATGTTCCCTAACGTACACACATAGAATAATTAATAATTACTTATAAATCTCATTACTAATGTAACAAGTAAAGCAACCAAATTGCTCTGCAAACACACAACTTTCATCTGGTAATTGCACATCTCACACATTTTATATACTAACATTTATAAAAATTCATACAACTTAAGCAATTACAACCCAAATTAAAAGGGGTAATATGTATATATATATATATATATATATAGGTAACAGATCGTGTGTCTGTGAGATATAGCTTTCCATCAAACTTTTGTTGCATAATCCACCATTTTTCTTCAATTTCTCATGTGTCACTAGTAGAGTGCAAATAGTCTTACAACCATTCATCTTGAATTTCTTGAGTAGTGCTTCAACGTATTTCTTTTGTGAGATAAATATTAACGTATTTCTTTTGTGAGATAAATATTCCTTCTTTTTTTTGGTTTACCTCTATACCAGGGAAGTAGTTTATCAAGCCAATTAAGGTCGATCATTTTGAAGGTCTTCATCATATCTTCTTTGAACATAATTATCATCTTCACATTGTTCCCTATGCAGATAAGATCATCTGTATAAAAGGAGACTATGAGTATGTCATACTGACCTTGGAACTTGTTGTATAAAGTAACCTCACTTTTGATCCTCCTAAATCCTTAATCCATAAAGTATTGATCAATTTTATTGTACAATGCCTGTGGAGCTTGCTTCAATCTAGATAAAAGCCTTTTTTAGTCTTAGAACTTTGCCTTTGTTAATTTTGCTAATGATTCCTTGTGGTTGCTCTACCTAAATCTCTTCTTGAAGAGTGCCATTGAGAAAGGTTGATTTTACATCGATTTTTTAAATGTTCCATCCTTTTTATGTAGCAAGAGCAATAAGAGTTTTTATAGTATCCAAGCGGGCAACTAGAGAAAATGTGGACAAATGAGTATGAGGGTCTTCATGATCTAGCCCAACAAATTGGTGTATACTAATTAAATTTAGGAAGGCTAGCTCATCTCCATAGTTCTTTTAGTTAGGGCTACAATGGTGGAGAAATGTCTTGATTTTTTTTTTAATGGCATAATCTCCCAAAGTTCTCTGGAGTGGATTCGGACCTTGATCAACCATTGGTTTTAAGGTAGGAGGGTCTGTTACAAGTTGAGAGTGAGAGTGAGATGGACCCTCATGCTGCTTTCTTTGCTTTTCTGCTTAATTTTTTCTTCTAGTCTCACTCCTGTTCCTACTAGTTGTTCTTTCAATCTCAGGATCAAATATCAACTGCTCAGTTGGAGTTTTTCCTCACGTATAAAATAAAGTCTAAGCAAAGAAATTAGCACAAGAGTAAATAATTTATAAACTTTAACTATACAAAAACAAAGAATTTGAATTTTAATAAGGATAAAATGAAAATAAATATCTAACGCAATTCCTGACAACGGTGTTAGAAAACTTGTTAGGATTTTGGCAAGTGTACCAAACTTTCCTTTTAGTAAATGTATCCACAAGAATTGGAAGATATATTTCTATTATCCTAATTAAAACTTTATGCAAAAAGATGCATTAATGTTTGCCAAGTTGTTCATGAGTGAAATATTCAGAAATTCAAGGATTTAAATTGGCTAATATGTAGAAATATCATAATTCAAATTGAGATTGGATTTCATCATTCTTCCTCTTTCATATTTTGATGTATAAATATTTAGATATTGTTTTATAGAAGCAGATGCACTCTTTTCATATTTTCTTATATCAATTCCTCACAAATATAGGATTCCTAAGAGTATTCAATGAATAATGATTACTCAAATATCCACTAAGCCCTCCATCATTAAAAATAAAAGTTAATAAGCAACCAATATATTGAAACCTAGTTCTAATATTGCAATATACCGAGTGAGTTTCATTCAATCTAGTTCTAAGATTTTCTTTCTAACTAAACCTTGGATTCTGAATCAAAACAATATTATTTAACATAGAATCAAGCATGGAAAACAAATGAAACCACCAATCTCTAAAGAAATGAATAACTATATATAGATAATCAAAATATTTTAGAGTAAAAGATTACATTCAATTTTAAAAGAGTTTTACCATATTATAATACAAGAAAGAGAGAAAAGAGATGAGATGGAATGATGTCCAACGCTCCTTTTCCTAATTCTCCGTTCTTTGCTCTATTTTCTCACTCTTTGATCCCTTTTCACCTTAGCAGAAACCCAAGTCTGATACACACATTCTTGCACCATCAAACAAACTTTATTACGTGCAGGAAAAAAATAAAAGCTTATATTAAAAATGAAAAAAAAAACTATTTTATAAAAATTATTGAGCATAAATAAAAGAAATATTATTCAATATGAAAATTAAAAATAAAAAAATAAAAAGACGTCAAATTCTAAAACAAACAGACGAACTAAGAAAATAGGAAAAAAGTACCTAAACGGTAAGCTAAGCATATGATGCAAGAATAAAAAACTAAACTTCCTAGCATTAAATATATGGTTAATATATATTTGAACACAGACTCCGATATTATTTAAGAGTAGAAAATTAATTTTATTAGAATAATCTCTATTTAACTTTAAAACAAATGGACATTAAACCAAAACTAGTTCAAAGTAATTTATCAGTACTAAAGCAAATAGGCGCAATAATTATTGAGTTACACGATGTTTACACGACGTTGTAAATAATTGATTTGTTTTTTAAAATTAAACAATAGAAACCAGTTGATAGAAAATGGCATCAGCACCTTTACGTTGACTAATCACTCAGGATAATTTGTGGGATGTGTGCGATTTGGCGACTAACAGCACTTGTCTCTGTTCTGCATTCTTTTATTAAGAGGATACACTGGATGACCTCAAAGATCTTTAAGTTGGTAAGACGACTCATTCCTTCGGGCAGCGATGCCAATACTGGGCAATCTAAAATTCTGATATGCTGAAGCGACGAGAAGTTGCAAATCCAATCTGGCAAAGCCTTTAGGTTTCCACACGAATATATCTCGATTTTTCGCAGAGAAGGAAGGCAGTTGGTGTCGTCCTTAAACCCGGTCTCAAATTCCTCGAGTGTTTCGCTTTCACAGCATCCAATTTCAAGAGACTCGAGAGAAGTCAGATTTAGCGTCAAACCCTTTGGTAAATTCATAGGATCAAAAATCATCAATTGTTTGAGCATGTAAAGAGGAGAAGCGGCTGAGGAAGATGAGTCAGCTGAGCACGTTGACGCCGCTTTGTTTAGTGTTGCTTTTAATGGCTCCGCACTGCATTTAGACAATCCTAAAACCTGAACGTTTGGAAAGGTAGGCATGCAAGTCAACTTTGGACCGTCGATGACTTGTAGTCGAGAAAGACAAGGAAATGAAAGAGAGGAGGAGAGATGGTGTGAATTTTTAGAATCATGTACATCATCTCCCCGCTTCTCCCATCCCTCAAGCTTTGGACAATGTTTTAATGTGAGGCTCTCAAGAGAGGGGAAGGTTACCGCAAGACCATCTTCATGAAGATATATGTATTCCAATTCAAAAAGACAGTTTATCATGAGTGACTTAAGGGAGGGGAGACGTTCCAACGGTGGGAGGCAGCGACAATTACAAAGCCCAAAGAGATAGATGTCAACAACGTTTGTGAGAAGAGAAAGCCAGTTCGGGAAAAGCACGCCTGGATAATGGATGACATTCAATCGCTTAAGATTGTGATGGGGCTCAAGGTTTTTCAATAATTGTAAGCTGTCACTGTTACGGATGTCTTCACGCCACCAACTTAGAGTCAAGGATTGAAGGAATTTTTTTTCTTTTAAATTTACATCCTGTGATTCCAGAGTCACCTCTCCCACGTGATTGAGATTCTTAATGTGTAATTCTCCCCTTAGGTAGTTTAAGTCTTTCAATTCATTTAATGTGCCATATTTTGTTTCTTGGCTATCTCCCACAACAAAGATCTGTAAGAATTGCAATGACCGCAATTTTCCCAACCCAACTGCCATCCCATTCAAGAAGTCATTGTCAATAATATCAAGATATCTTAAATGCTTCAATTTTCCAATTGAATTGTAGAAGGAAGAAGATGACATCCTCAAGACGCGTAAGTATTTGAAATTTTCAATAACAGACAAATATTCCTCTTCATTGTCAGACCACACAATCAAACTTCGTAGCCTGCTTGCATTCAATGAATCCAATAAATGAATGGCCTTAGATTCCAAAGATACGTGCATGGGACTACCTTCAACTTTTTTCGCCTTACTATCCAAGTAACAGCAATCATTGCCAGCAACAAGCATTGCAAGATCATGCATTAAATCATGCATTTTGAATGTAATGATCTCACCATGTTCACCGCTGACTGCATCTTGAAAAAATGAATTCATTAAAAGAATCTTTACAAATTGGTCACCGACATCCTCCATGTGTTGTTTTTCAGTTGAACATTCAAGGTAACCCTGTGCTATCCATAACTGAATCAACTCATTCTTTAAAATTATTGAATCCTTGGGATATAAAGAGCAATAAGCAAAACATTGTCTCATCTTTGGGGAAAGGTTTTGGTAGCTGAGTTTTAGAATTGGCATGATATCTTCTTGTTCTTCACATAGTTCCCAAAAGTCACCACGTAAAACATCTCGCCATTCACTCTCTTCGTTTTGTCCTCGTAACAGGCCTCCTAGCGTTTTAACTGCTAGTGGAACCCCTTTACATTTTTTGGCTATTTCTTTCCCCATTGATTCTAGATTTTGATTCACTCCTTTGGAATCATCCTCAAATGCAATGTTCTTCAACAAACTCCAAGATTCCTCGTCAGTCAAACCTTTCAAAGTATAGGAAGTGCTACAATTCATTGTCTTTGCTACATTTTCACTTCTAGTTGTTACTAAAATCTTGCTATCTTGAGCGCCACACATCAAGTACTTTCTCAATTGAGCCCATTTGTCATGTCTCTCATTCCAAATATCATCCAGGACCAACAAATATTTCTTACCACTTAAATTTTTATGAAGCTCTTTTTGCAACTTCTCTAATGATTGGTCTTGTCTTTGGCCGTCAGCAATTGATTCTAACATTTTCTTCAGAATAGTTTTCACATCAAAGTTATCGGAGACACACACCCACATTTGCATTTCAAAAAAATTCTGCACTTCCAAGTCATTATACACCAATTGTGCAAGAGTTGTCTTCCCCAAGCCACCAAGGCCAACAATGGCAATCACAGGAACTTTTTGGTTTTCACGAGGTTGTCTCAACAGACTAATGATCTCTTTTTTGCTATCATCTCTTCCAATGATATCTGAGTCTAACACAAAAGAACATGTTTCCCTCCAGCCATTATCAGTTTGCTTAACCACCATCGATCTTGGGCATAAATTCAATTTATACATGTCTTCTACTACAGCATCAAAACTTTCTCGTGTTTTTTTAATTTCTTCAGCCATTTGAATGGGAAAATCAATTCGATTTGAAGATGAGAAGGGATAAAATACCTTTGTCACTTCTGTTCCTCGTTCCTCGTCCAATTTGTGTCTCAGAAATTCGATAGCAATGTCATCTAAGAAGTCATCTGCAACATGAAGAACTTCTTTGAACCTTCTAATCCAAACTCGCACACGAGCTTGTTCTTGTTTATCGTCAGCATCAAGGAGCACATCATTGATGGATTCAAGTGTGTTCTTGAGCTCTTCCAACTCTTCCGTCACATCATACTTCTTTCCAAATTCAATAAAATCTGAGGAAGCCAACCTGTGAATGATATTTGAAGCAACACCAAATGAAACTCACTCAGCCATCATTGAAATCAGGCTTAATTATGTTTTGTTCTTAAAAAACATAGCATTAATTTATACACAACATTTTTTTATTAACGTTGATAAATTACTTATTTACATCTGATAAAATTAAAACTGCATATAAAGTAATTTACTAAATTTGGTAAATAAAAACTATAAATATATGGAGTTTTTGAGTGCTAACTTTTACATACCTATATTAATGTCATTGTCTTTCTTTTTTTTTTTAAGCACGGTAGTCTCTTTCCTTTTTTTTTTTTTATGTTTTTTCATCTGTTTCGTTGTCTCTTCAATTAAAATTTATTTTATATTAAAAAATATGACTTAAAATATTTAATGTTCAAATTTATATGAAGAAAAATTTTATTTTTCTATATAATGATTTATTTATTAATAATTATCATTCATGTTAGTACCTATAATTGAGAAACATTAAAATTAAGTAATAGAATCACGTTAAGTGACACGTGTCAATCTATTCTAAATATAAAATGACTCATTTTAGAATATTTCAAAAATAGCTTATTTTTATCTTGACTTTTAATATTTTTGATCAATAAAATCCCTCGTTGTCTTCTACTTTACCTTCTTCCATGATGTCTTATTCCTTCTTTTGACCGTTGTTATAATGGTCTTCACATTGTAAAACTCTTTCATCTTGAGTTTTCTTACTCAATTCAATGAAGAGGTCTTATACATGGTAGAGTTGTCACCTTAGGACTTCATGATTCCCTTACTATCCCTAGAGATGCCACTTATGAAACTCTTATAACTTCTTACAATAATTCCTTTACGGTTCAAAACTTCTTTTGAGGTTAACAAAGGAGAGATTGTTGTAACTTTTTCCTCAAATATGTTAGAAATCTTAGTTTCATCATTTCTACACCTAACAATCTATTGAAGTGGTGGCCGGAGAAAGGTAACTTAGAAGAAGGCAAAACAAAAGATAAAAACAAGTTTTATTGCTCAAAAATATTAAAAGTCAAAAATAAAAATAAACTATTTTTTAAAGATTCTAAAACAACTTTGTTTTATGTCAAGAATGAACTACCATGTTATTTAACGAAATAAATCATCATTTTCTTACTTAATTTTAACATTTCTTAGAATGATATAAACTAATGTAATTGACGATTATTAATTATAAAAATTAAATTATCAAATTTAAAATTTTAAGGATTAACTATAGTTAAATTACATATTTTAAGGATTAAAGTTAGAATTTATCCATTAAAATTTTAAAATCTAAATATGATTTCTTTCGGAAAAAAAAAAAAAAAAAAAACAAGTCTAAGAAGTAACACTTAACATAAGACTAATTACCATTTGGTTTGCTAAGAAACCTTATTTTACATTATAATGTTTAATTACTAAATTGTTAGTATATAATATTTACATATTATCATGTAAACAAAATAATTCATATTATGATAATTCAACATTAATAAAATTACGGTTATTAAGGGTCATATCAATTACGATGGATTATATATTTACATATAACCGTAATTTTATTAATGTTGAATTATCATAATATGAATCATTTTGTTTCTTAATTATTTTATTTATATCAATATCTTAATTTCAAAGTATAAAATAATAATATTATTAGACAAAATCTATCTATTTATCCCCATAATATTCGTTGGCACAGAATCATGCCTTAATTATGAGTGACTTACTCCGCAGGTATCGTGCGTTTGATGGAGTCTATTAATGTTTGATTACTTTAATTTCTAACATATAATATGATAACATTAATATCAGTTTTTTTAACTTTAATTTTTAAAATTGAGTTTATACATATAAAAGGAATTTTGTTAATAAAGTATAGCATTATTATATATATATATATATATAATATAATATATTTCTATAAAAATATTATTTTAATTATTTATTTCAACTTTAAGAGTTGAAGTTAACCATTTTTCTATGAATATTAAAGCTTGCTTTAAAAAATCAATGATTTGTAAAGATCTAGCTGTAAATGAGTACATGTATTGATTGTTGCTATAACAATGATGACCATCTCAAACTCTCATTACACAAACATTTCGAATTGCTAAATAATGATAGTATTGATGATGCTGCAACGATGACATCTAAATTCTTGAACAACAGTTAGATATACATTATTTCTTATTCGACTCAATAGCATAATGTTATACTGATAGCATTACAGTTAAGACAATTAACTATACAGAATGTTTAATTAATTTAATTTAGGATTGTGTTTATCCCAGCTCTTTGAGCATAAGAAGTTAATAATAATAAAATTTTATTAAGAAAGTTTTTATTATACTTTTATTACTTTATTACAATTAATATATCTTTTCTATAAAACTATTCTATTTATAAATAATTAAACTCAATTTTAAACACTGAAATTAACAAAGTCTTATTTGCTGTAATGAAAAATTGACGTCTAATATTTAACTGATTATGCAAGATACACTATATTTGATTGTATTAAAATTTGTCAAATACTTGACTAATTACGTAAAAAATATACTTTAACTTAGTCAAATTATATATCCAATTATTTACTTTTGATATCATAATCTATTTGGGACAAAAAATACATATTCAATATTCATTTAAAAATGAATATTTTAATTTGATTCAACACAGTTTTTATTTTGATTAATTTATTAAAACATTAGAGTTACGATTGTTGAAAAGCAAATAAAAAATAATTCTTCAAGACGATAAATAAAATGATTGTTATATTGAAAAATAAAATACAACATTATTATTAGAATTATTCGATATTACATAATTTAAATTCGTTTTGATTTTATCGGAGACAAAAGGATTGATTCTAAAATTTTCGATAATATATTTGTGATTTACTGTTATTTATAGGTATTTAAGTATTTACTTTTTCTATTTTTTTAATACATTATATAATATGATTTGATATTTATAAAAAGAAAGTGGTTCTTTTAGTAAAGAAAATAGAAGGTATAAAATAATTTAAACCTTATTTTTGTATCATAATTATAATCTTAGATTTATATAATCTAAAATATTATTTATTTGTTAATTTATTTCGGCATTTTCAGAAGATAAAGAATTATTAAGAAAAAAATACCTTTGATTAAAAACAATTATGGTATAGAAAACACCGTGAAATTTAAATTAAAAAAATCAATTTCTTTGTTTTGATATTCAAACAAAAAATTTGAGATAATAAAATGAAAAGAAGATATAAAATAAATTGAACCATATTTTCGTAATTTAATAAGATTAAATTTTTTTTAATAAAAGTTATTTTTTAAACCGTTTGTTTTGTCTCAGATCTTTATTATGTAAACACTGAAAAACAAAACCATCAAACAAACTTTATTATGTGCAGGAAAAGAAAAAATAAAACCTTAGGTTAAAGAAAGAAGAAAAATGAAACAAGAACTAAGAAAATATGGCAAAAAACTAAAAGATGTGAAAATCTATATCAAACAGATGAACTAAGAAAATATGGCAAAAATACCAAAACTGTAAGCTAAGCATATTATGCAAGATTGAAAAAAAATCATATTGCTTAAATCGAAGAAAGGCTGCAAAAACCAACCAACCTGTGTATGAGATTGGAGGCAACAGCAAATGGGATTTGTTCCACCATCCTTAAAATGATTGAGAAATACTATAATATGATGAGAAGGAAAATAGATTTGCACTGTATTATGTTTGAGATTGACAATGGATGCAGATAACACATTATTGCTCATATATCTGCCCAGCAAAGGGACCCATTTGTAATTAGCTATGTCAGTCAAACCATCGTTTCTAAGTCTTATTGGTTCAATGCTTTGATCTTATCTTCAATCTAATACTATGAATATATAATAAAGGGTAGCCTCTAACACGAGGTAACCATTAATTAGTGTAGCAATGAGTGAGATTGTTTCTGCAGTTAGATATAATAATAAATTAATCCGATTGTTTGCTATGTAGTCGTCGAGTTAAATTGTGGAAAATTAGAAAATTAGAAAGTGATTTGTTATCTATCAAGGAATGCGATTCGCAAAGGGAGCAACAAGAAGCATGTATATGTCAGCAACTCAATAATTCTCGTACATGACAATAACTCACTGGATTCAAAGTTAACAATTTCAAGTTTTTGAACTTTCACAGTTTTATATGCACACTCAACGAGAGTTTACAAGTTGTAACATATTAAGTTTTTATGCTTGATTGTTTTTATTGGTATATGATTGTGTGTTGTTTAATATTGAGAACTAGATCAGACAGTGTGTTGTGTACTTTTGGAAAGATAAAGAATAATGGTAATTAATTTTACTTATATTTATCTTTCTTAGTATTTTCTTTTTTCTGAAAATCAATAAAGGTCATGTTTTGGGGATGTAATGGTTAACAAAGGCACCTAATATAAACATATTTTCTGTTTTACCTTTTTGGGATTTCTCTGATTTATTGAAATTAATTAAGGGTCTTGAGTTCCTATGCTTTTATTTAGTCTTCTACTAATCCACTCTTCTTCAGAAGTGTTCACATTAAGTTATATTTTCATAGCTTTGCCATGGGAAAGGGACTTTGCTCTGCTTTGATGGTATATACATTTGCAACACCGTTGAACTAGAAGGCCCTTGTATAACCACAATTGTTGCATGTTATGTGTGTTAAAAAACCACTTTTATCAACTATTAAAACTGGAAATAAAATTGCTACCAAAAGTTTAGTTTTCGGTACCAACCTTCATTATAATAGTGGGTAATATTAATTTGAGGGTACAAACATTTTTAACTATGTGTTCTTACATGAACTAACATGACTTGTTATTCTAAGTTGTAATAATTGTATGATCAATATCATAGGAACTAATATAATACGAAAATCGAATAAAGATAAAATACAATAACGAAAAAAAAAACATTTATTTTATAATATGTTTGATGTATATTAACATAATAAAACATATTAAATTATCTCATCCTATTTAATATTTTAAATAAAAATAATAATAAGAAGAAAACAATATGTAAAATATATTTAAATGATAAAATTACCCTTTGATCAAAATTAATATTATTTTTAAAATATTTTTTATTTAATTTTTTGACTTTTTAATAAAGAAATGCATTAAAAATTAAAAATACTTTTGAGTATATGTAATATTAAAATTTTGATATTAAATTGTAATTATTTTCTTCAACCCATTTACAATTTAAATTTATTTTTGATAATAAAATTTATTAAAACAAAAATAAATTATAAAATTGAAAATAATATTTTATAAATGAGTAAATTGTAAAAAATAAATTTTAAACATTTTTTATTAAAATATATATTCTATCATGATGTTTCTTAACCCGTCAATCTCTTAGGATAAGAATTTGAACTATAATTATACGAAAAGACAACTTAAAAATATAAAATATTATTTCTCATCCTCATATCATAATCATCAAACAAGCCTTTAATAGAATATTACAATCAAGTCTTATATTCATTTATCTTAACAATAAATAAAATAGTATGGATATTATTTGAAAAATAATGATTTAAATAATTAACTTAATTATTCGATTAGGAGAAAAAAAATACAAATGTCTTAGAAGACTGATTTTATATTCCTATTTTGATTAAATGTCTCAACTTTTGCCTTGATTAAGATAAGTGAAATAACTATTTTTTTTTTTTTGGTAAAGAGAGAAAAAAAAATGCAAACTACAAAATATATAAATTGTCTAGAACTAACATGACATATAAATACATGATAGAAATTAACATGAGTCAGTTTGTCAACTATTGAGTTAATCTCTCAAACAACATAACATATAAGTACATATAGAAACTTTGAATGAGATGATGAATATCAATATGTCATTCTCTATTTTTTGAAATGGTCACTTAGAAAGCGTAATAATATAACTATTTTTTAGAGGTAACTTTATAGAGTGATTAGAATATAATTACTCTTTAAAGACACTTTAGAAAGTAGTTGCGTTTTAATTGATCTCTAAAGTCACTTTTAGAGAGCGGTTATATGTCAACACTCTTACACATTAAAATTTTTGAAAACTCTAACAACTTTTAGTTTATAAACTAACTTAAAGATTAAGTATTGCTCAACTCACATCAGTTCCATGAAACTTTTTTTTTTTTAATTTTCTTTATCTTCTCTACACTAACAAAGTTAGTCCATTTCACAATTGTATGTAGGTATCTTTTTCACTGTCTCTCTTTATTCAATCCTCCTTTCTTTTTCTATCTCTATTAACAATAAAATCTCCTATTAGTTTAATTTTTTTCCTTCTACTTATTAGTGTTTCATTCATTTAGATGTGAACTATTTGGTTAATATAAAATATAAACTCGAGTTTCAACAAGACAGAATTAATTTTTGTTTGTGATAAAAAAAACTCAAATAAGAAATTTTGAATCTTATACATTCAAGTTCAAGTTTAAACATAACAATAAATTAATTTTAATTTGTAAAAAAAAAAAAAAACTCACAAGGGGAGAAGTTTTAAATTTTAAATGTGCGGTTCATACATTGGAGGACAGTTATAAAAACTACTTTCTAAGTGACACTTGGGGAGTAATTAGTCATGTTCTTAGAGTCCTATCTAACAGGTGTATTACGTAGTTATAGTAAGTAATAAAATTTATAATTTTAAGTTATGAGTATCAATTGCAGGGATTGATTCATTCAATTATGAATTCACAAGATCTAAAACTATTTGAGCTAATCAAAATTTGAGAAGTTTTGAACATTAGAGAATCTAAGCAATAAAGTGCAGAAAATAGAATGAAATAGCAAATGAAGTGAAGGTGTGAGAAATGATATGATTAATCCAATGAAGTTAAGGTTGATTTCATCAATATGTAAATTGCAAAACTAAATGTGATCTGAATTTCTAAGTTCCTTAGTTGATTGATAATCAATTTCACTAGGTTAATCAAAGTTTAATTCTTTGACTCAATGATTCTAATATTCAATTAACTATCCTAATTTCTTAGGTATAATTAATCAAATATTGCATTAAGTATTAGAAATTAAGAAATCACAAGATCATAAATGCTTATTCCTAAAATATCAATAACCTTGATATTTAATTCATATATGAAAAATTTACTCAACTTCCATTGATGTAAATTTTCTATGTTCAATTCAATTGAATAGCTAACTTAAGAATTACATCAAGAAAGAATTAAATGTTTAATACAATTAAGATCTTAAAATCCAGATCTACAATCAATTTATAATATCCAAATCGGATCCATTAATCCCTAACTAAAGAAAATTAGAACATGATGCTAAAGAAAAAAGAGAAAGACAAAGTATAAGAGAAGGTGTAGAAAATCTTCATAAATTCAAATCTCAAGCTTAATTCCTCAAGGATCAAGTTTTGAAATTTGTCCACAATAATCCTCACTAGCTTTCTAAAAGTGTAAAAAGACAAAATGATAAAAGATCCAAAAAAATCTGAGTTTCTGGCTATTTATAACTTTTATGCACTTTTGGCGTAACTACTTTTTGCACAAAAAGTTACTACACGTTAGGTCTTTCTCATGACAGCATTCTAGAGTGACTACTTTTTGCCTAAAAAGTAGCTACACGCAGATTCACACCTTCTGAAGTGGCCACTTTTGGTCCTAAAAGTGTCTACGTGCATAAGGAATTCCCTTTCCAAGTCTTTGAAGTGACTACTTTTAATGGTGAAAGTGCTTAAGCTCAACATACTTCACTCCCTAAGTCTTTAGAATGCTTACTTTTTACATAGAAAGTGGCTACGCCCATTCCTCAATTATTCTTTATGTAACATCTTAAAATCAAAAATTCGTACAATGTATATTTTATTCTTAATCATTTGAAATAAAACATCAATTTCTGAATATAATGAACTTATTATAGCAAATTACTAAAATTTTCTTTTAAGTTTTCGAATGTAGATGAAAATTTTAAATTTTGCAGTGCTAATATAACAACAATAATAAATACTGTAAAGAGTAAATAAATATCACAACTAAAATTTAATATTCTTCATAGGAAACCTGAATATACATTACATATCAACATAAAAATTACAACTGTTTGACAAAATATGTGAGACTTAAAACAATATTTACATAACCAAAATAATTACAAGATATAGGCAAGTTAAAGTCCCAGAGCAGTCTTCCCTATAACCAAATACTAAAAATCGGTCCTATTCATCACCAGCATCCCAACTCTCTATCTCAGCTAAATCTTCTGAATCCATATCCTCGTCTGATCCCAGGTAGCAATCTCTTGAATTAGTTGTAATCTCTGTGCCAGTGACGCGCTCAAAGATCCATCTGGACAGTCTTTTGAGGTATTTGTAGTCATGATAGGTGAATAGATAGGTGAGGGCTGCCAGAGTTCTAATAGTACCTCTATACATATATATATATAAAGTCTGATGTATTCTAGTCCTAGAAAAATCAAAAGGAATACTGCAAAAGAAATTCATCTCTAACATAACAAAAGTCCTAGGTTCATTTTCCACAAGAACAACAAATTTAAAATAACAGTCTTTGATATTCATTAAATACATAATTTAACATATTATGTATTGATCTATCTATTAATTTAACTTTTTTCTTAGGTTCCATCATCCTTGTTTCCAGAAAATATTAGTAAGGATGAGCGTTTATTCTACCATTTTTCAAACGTTTATCATAGAATCATAATTTATAACATAAATAC